ACCTATGGCGCAACAACAACAACAGCAACCACCACCACAACAACAAGCAACAACAACAAGCAACAACAACAACAACAACAACAACAACAACAACAACAACAACAACAACAACAACGACGACAACAACAACAACAACAACAATCAATCATTTTACCCGAACGCGTGGTGTTCTCCCCAGTGCCAGGGTTTTCATACGACACCAGGCAATACCCCCACTTCGTGGGGGGGCATTACAAGCTCTACCAAATATCCAAACGACTCTTCGCGACCACCCAAACCCAGCTTCCCGCCCTATGACGTTGGGACACTTCACTTCGTGGCGTGCGGACGACCGTGGCTACTACACTGGCGTGGGGTACACACCCACAGAACTTGGTCACTTATTCGGGGCGCGCATGTGCCCAGCATGGTGCAATTGTGCCATACAATACATAATACAGAGAGACAGAGAGAGAGACAGAGAGCAGACAGAGAGAGAGACAGAGAGAGCGGAGTTGGTCACATTTTTGGGTCAAGTTCCTGGGATGATGGGAATACACAACTCTGTTACATTTGATAGTGTGCACGACACACATGAGATGATACGTACTCGCAAGATAGTTGGTCACATTTGTGGAATTCCTGGGCGGATGTGGGGATACACAAATACCTTTGTTACCAGTGCTAGACATGGTACAGACACTGAGAGAGAGAAGGCGAGACAGAGGAAGAGAGCGGGAGAGAGAGAGACAAAAATTCGTGTGATTTTATGATGCGCGGTGCTAAAATTCTTAAGAACCCAATGGTTTTTGGAGATTTCGGCGTGCGCGCGCAAAAAACGAATGTGTCCCGCATGGTATTATTTGACAGGGATGATGGCCCTGGCAGGTGCGCAACCGTTGTCGCAGAAGTTCGAAAAAGTTGCTCGCAAAAGCCCGTTTGACAGAAATGTTTAAAAAGTGTTGGTTTCCTACGAATCCGCAAGAGCGCGCGGGATGAGATTTTGACATTTTTTGTTGAAAAACCATTGGTTTTTTGATGTTTTTATGTTAAAATCGCTCCGAACACTAAGCTTTTGGAAGGATTTCGTCTTGCGCGCGCGAATGTCCACTTTACCTTATTTTTTGCAAAGGATTCTTGAAATTTGATTATATTAGAACAAGAAATGTCATTTTATAGTGTTTTTTGCAAGGGAAAGCGGGGGGGAACAAAACAACCGGATCTTGATCACATCGAATTACCTGAGGCTTCCTCACGAAAATGATGAAAATGTAGCTGCGGCCTAGGCGGCGCAGGGGGGCGTGCACCAGGGGTCCCAACAATAATTATTCTTTAGAATTAATAATGTTCAACAACAATTACTAGCACGTGGGGACACTCCGTTCTCACCAGTGCCAGGGTTTTCATAGGAGGCGGGCAATACCCCCACTTTGTGGGGGGGCCGGTTCAAGCTCTACCAAATTTCCAAACGACTCTTCGCCACCACCCACACCCAGCTTCCCGCCCTATGACGTTCGGACACTTCACTTCGTGGCATGCGGACGACCGTGGCTACTATTCAGGGCCCCGCGGCCGACGACGACGGCGTGCGCGCGCGAAGAAAAAACGAATGTGTCCCGCATGGTATTATTTGACAGGGATGATGGCCCTGGCAGGTGCGCAACCGTTGTTGCAGAAGTTCGAAAAAGTGGCTCGCAAAAGCCCGTTTGACAGAAATGATTAAAAAAATGTTGGGTTTCCTACAAATCCGCAAGAGCGCGCGGGATGAAATGTTGACACTTTTTTTTGAAAAACCATTGGTTGTTTGATATTTTTATGTTAAAATCGCTACGAACACTAAGGTTTTGGAAGGATTTCGTCTTGCGCGCGCGAATGTCCACTTCACCTTATTTTTTGCAAGGGATTCTTGAAGCTTGGTTATATTAGAACAAGAAATGTCCACTTTGCCTTATTTTTTGCAAGGGAAAACCGATCGTAACAACACAACCGGATCTGGTACACATCGTTTTGCCTGAGACTTCCTCACGAAAACTATGAAAATGAGGCTGCGGCCTAGGCGCGGCGGGGGGGCCATGCACCAGGGGCCCCAACAATAATTATTCTTTAGAAGTAATAATGTTCAACAACAACAACAACAACAACCACAAGAACAACAAGCAACAACAACAACAACAACAACAACAACAACAACAACAACAACCAACAACAACAACAACAACAACAACAACAAGAACAACAACAACAACAACAAGAACAACAACAACAACAGCAACAACAACAACAACAACAAGCAACAACAAGAAGCAACAACAACAACCACAACAGCAGCAACAGCAAAAAACAACAACAACAACAACAACAACGGCAACAGCTACAGCAACGACAACAACTAAAAACAATAGCAACAACAACAAACAACACGACGGCAACAACAACAATAACAACAAAAACACCAACAAACAAAATGAGGGGGGGAAAGTTCGCTCGTACATGTACGCCCGCTTGCCATTCAACACGTATATCCTAAAACCTCGGTACCCGCCCTCGTCGTTTTCGATCCTACCCCCTTGGGGGTATATCTTCCTTACCTGATACATCCAATTACCGCGGGAACCAGAACAGGGGCACAGGAGGCGGACGGAAGGAGGAGGGCAAAGGATGGAGCACGAGAGAAATTAGCAGGAGGGGGTCTAGGGGCTAGGAACAGAAAACACGTGGCAGAACCAGACGAGCAGATCTGGCGAGCAGACCCTACCGGGCGCGTCGGGAAGGCGGGCCCAGGCGACCAGGTCGAGCAGGCGAGTTACTGAAGCTTAAATCCTGCATGAATCGCGAGGCCGTCTCGAGCGATAGCGCGATTCCCCAGTAAATCGCGAAAAAAGGCCAAAGCGAGAGCGTGATTCCTGGGTGTCGAGGGCGCGGCGTTCGAATACAGTGCGAGGACGTCCCACGCGAGACCGCGACTCCTGCATAATTTGTGCGGAGGTCCCGCGGGAGAGCGCGACTGGGAAATACATTGTGAGGAAATCCGGCGCGACAGCGCGATGTTGGAATAAACCGTGAGGACTTATCAGGCGGGAACCGTCGTTGTGATTAGAAACTGGAAGGCAGGGGTGCACTTTGGTGACCACAAATTGTCCCTGGTAAAACCCGGGTACGAGATATGGGAGGAGCACTTTAAAAGAAAAGCACAATGGTCATAACGGGGGGCGATCAACAATAATTCAATGACAACACCACCACCATCACCACAAGACTGTTCGTTCTTACCTGCTCGCGTGCCTTTCAACACGTATATCCCAAACCCTCGATACGCGCCCTCTTCGTCTTCGATCGTACCCCCTTAGGGGTGATCTTTCTTACATGCAACGTGCATGTCGTGCAACCCCTAAGGCAGGGGAAGAGAAGACTGATGGAAGGCAAGGACAAGGGGCAGGCGGGTTGCTGAACCGGGCGTCCTGAAAAAATCGCGAGGACGTCTCAAGCGATAGCGCGATGTCCAGATAAGTCTTGAGGAAAACCACAGCGAGAGCGTGATTCCTGAGTGTCGAGGGCGCGGCGTCTGCATAAATTGCGGGGAGCTCCCACGCGAGAGCGCGACTCCTGTAGAAATTCTAAGGAAGTCCTGCACGAAAGCGCGATTTGGCATTAAATTGTGGGGAAGTATCAAGGGGAGCCGTTGGGGCCTGGTTTGGTGACACACCATTTTCCTTTGCAAAAAACAGCGCGCGAGCATCCGGATAAGCACTGTAATTGAAAAATACAATGTTTCCCAGGCAAGGCGGATCAATAATAACTATTCTTTAGAAATGAGAACTCAAAGCGAGAACGGCTTGCTGATGCCCTGCCCCCAAGGCACCGGGACCCCAGACTCTCTTGGACTGGGGAGACTGGGACCCTGGGACCCCGCCCCAAAGCGGGGGGGGGGGCGCAACAGCAACAGCGCAACTTCTGGTCCTACTGAAGTTCTTGTGAAGGAGTAATCTTAATTTGGAATACATAAATATAACCGAAAATTGTGACTCGGGCCACAATATCAAGTCCGAGCTACCGGAGCGAGCTTGTCCTGGAAACACTATGAGGAAGGTGCAGGACCTACCGGAAACTCAATGAGAATGGTACGGAACCCTACTGAGAATCCTGTACGGACGGCACAGGACCTACTGGGAACTCTATAGGGATGGTACAAGACCTACTGGGAATTCTATCAGAACAGTACACGACCTTCTCGGAACTCTATTTGGATGGTACAGGACCTACTAGGAACTCTATAGGGATGGTACAGGACCGACTGGGAACTCTATAGGGATGATACAGGACCAACTTGGAACCACATAGACTCGGTAGGGATGCTACAGGTCATCTTGCAGGTCCTTTAGGGAGCTCCATAGGGATGGTACAGGACCTACTCAGCAATCTATGAGGGTGGTACAAGACCTTCTGGACATACTCAGAACTCTATAGGGATAGTACAGGATCTGCTGGGAACTCCATAGGGATGATACAGGGCCTACTGGGAACTCTATATGGGCGGTACAGAGCCTACTGTGAATTCTATCGGGATGATACAAGGCCGACTAAGAACATATGACGTACTGGGAATCCTATAGTAACGGAACCCTGTAGGAGTCTTACACCATTCATACGGAATCATATAAGAGTCAAATAGGATCCCCACGGGAGTCCTACAGGGTCCCTACGGAACCCTACACGATCCTTTAAGACCCCTACGGAACCCTCTAGGAGTCCGATGGGATCCCTACGGAATCCTGCAGGAGTCCTACAAGACTCCTACGGGAATCTCTGAAGACCCCCACGGAGGAGGAGGAGGAGGAGGAGGAGGAGGAGGAGGAGGAGGGGGAGGAGGAGGAGGACATGGAGGAGGAGGAGAACGAGGAGGGAGGGAGGAGGAGGAGGAGGAGAAAACGAGGAGGAGGAGGAGGAGGAGGAAGGAGGAGGAGGAGAAGGAGGAGGAGGAGGAGGAGGAGAAAGGAGGAGGAGGAGAAGGAGGAGGGGGGGCTGGGCGAACACGAGGAGACAGGAAAGAGAAGCCCAGAGGGCGCGGCCGGCGCGGCGCAACGCGGCGCGCGGCGGGGGGGGCAGCACTCCATGCCCCCGCATGCCGGCATGCTCTCGCAGACGGCCCTGCACGACTCCAGGGAGGAGGCGCCGTGCAGCACCATGGGCTGCCGCGGCCGCGCAGGGTTGCCGTCGTCGTCGGTGTCGTCGTCGATGTCGTCGACGCCGTCGCCGTCGTCGTCGATGTCGTCGTCGACTTCGTCGTCGAAATCGTCGACGACATCGTCAGCGTCGTCGATTTCGCCATCGTCGACGTCGGCGTCGATTGGGTCGTCGTCGTCGTCGATGTCAACGGCGTCGATTTCGTCGTCGGCTTCTGGGGACGTAATGAAATAAGAAGAGGCGCCATGAAGTCTGGGGAAACATCATGGCCCGCGCCATGATATCCACCCCCCCCCCTAGTCCTCACCCCCCTCTCTGCCGCCCCCGATCAGCGGAGAGGAGGGAAGGAGCCCGGGATCAACGCTCGAGGAAGCAGTCGTCGTGCAGCACCGGAAAAAATCTCAGCATGAGGAACGGGATTTGGACACCCGAAATGGGTACCGAAAGAATGGGTACAATGCCCAACAGCAACTGTTGTCCCAAACCAACAGCGGCCGCTGTTGGGCAGGCGGCCTTCTGTCTCAAATGGACACAGGCCGCGGCGGCGCGGACGGCGAGTCCTGTCCAAAATGAACAGGAACTGCTTTTGGGCATTGTACCCATTCTTTCCGTGCCCATCTCGTTCGTGCAGAATCCCGGGGTCGACGCTCGAGGAAGCAGTCGTCGTGCAGCACCAGAAAAAATCTCAGCACGAGGAACGGGCGAGCCTTGCTCTCTGGCCGCGCGCGCGCACCCCGACCACGCGCGGGCTCCCCGACCTCCACGCCTGGAGAGCGGCCCGAGGAGCCAGAGCCCCCTTGGCCCAGCGTGGTCCTTCCTCCAACGTCTCCTCCTCCTCCATGTCCTCCTCCTCCTCCTCCTCCTCCTCCTCCTCCTCTCCACCTCCTCCTCCTCCTCTCCTCCTCATCCTCCTCCTCTCTCCTCCTCCCTCCTCCTCCTCCTCCTCCTCCTCCTCCTCCTCCTCCTCCATTCCTCTCCATGTCCTCCTTCTCCGCCTCCTCCTCCTCCCCCTCCTCCTCCTCCTCCTCTCCTCCTCCTCCTCCTCGATGTCCTCCTCCTCCTCCTCCTTCTCCTCCTCCTCCTCCTCCGTTTCCTGTGGAACTGTCTGAACGTTTGCTGGAGGCCGCCGCGATGGGTGTCGCAGCGTGGCTCCCCAGAGGTCTGGCCCCCGTCCACGGGACCAGTTCTTCAGCCCGAGCCGTTTTCTTATCGCTCCCGAGGGCTGGCGAGGGCGCCCCAGAGTGGTCCTGCCTTCAACGTCCTCTGTAGAGCCTTCTGCATGCCTGCTGGAGGCCGCCGCGATTGACGTCACGGCGTGGCCCCCAAAGGTCTGGCCCCCGCCCACGGGACTGGGTCTTCAGCCCGAGCCGTCTTCGACTGGGTCTTCAGCCCGAGCCGTCTTCTTACCGGTCCTGGGGCCTGGCGAGGGCACCCCCCAGGGCAGAGTACTGGCACACCAGGAGGGGGGAAGCGGGGGAAGAAAAACAACGTGCTCTCTCCGCAACGGGGCGAAGCTCGAGGATACAGCCGTCGTGCCACCACAGGGAACGCTCGATGAATGAGGAACGGGGGGGGGGGGGGGCGTTCTGGCCACGGCGAACCCCGGCCACGAGCAGGGTCAGGACCCAGATCGGCGGAGCTGCCTGAAGAGCAGAGCCCCTTTTTTTCTCCGAGCGTTGTGGCTGTAAGTCGTTGTCGGCTTGATGTGTGTTGGCGGGGCCTGGATCTGTCGTTAGCGATATGCGCCTTTTTTTCGGGCCCCGCAGGGGATCTACCGCCGCCACACACTGGGTTCCCTTAGATATGGCGACGGCGAACGGCTCACCCCAGGGCGGATCTGGGGATCGACTTTGGAGGGGGAGGAAGAGACGGAGGACGGGGAGGAGAAGGGGGAGAGGGAGGAGGAGGAGGAGGAGGAGGAGGAGACGGAGGAGGAGGAGGAGGAGGAGGAAGAGGAGATAGAGATAGAGGAGAGGAGGAGAGGAGGAGAAGAAGAAGGAGAAGATGAAGAAGAAGAAGAACGAGGAGGAGGAGGCGGAAGAGGGGGGATGGAGATGAGAAGGAGGTGGATGAGGAAAAGAGGAGGAGGAGGAGAAGTAAAAGAAGAGGAGGAGGAGGAGGAGAGGAGGAGGAGGAGGAGGAAGGGAGAAGGACGAGGAGGAGGAGGAGGAGGAGGAGGAAGAGATCGAGGAGGACGAGGAGGAAGACGACGACGAGGAGAAGGAGGAGGAGAAGCAGATAGAGGAGGGAGGAGGCGGAAGAAAGGGCTGGAGATGAGGAGGAGGAGGAGGAGGAAGAGGAGGAAGAGGAGGTGGAGGAGGAGGAGGAAAAGAAGAGGAGGAGGAGGAGTAGAAGGAAGAGGAGGAGAGGAGGAGGAGGAGAAGGAGAAGGAGGAGGAGAAGGAGGAGGAGGGGTACGGGGACGGGGAGGGGGAAGGTTGTTGGGGACTGGCCTGAAGCCTGGCAGTCCATGATGTCAGCCATAAACGTCGGCGTCCGAGACTGGCTCGCGAAACTCATCTAGTGAAGCTCGGATCGTGGCCGCCCCTCGAACTCTCAGCCAGGGGGGGTCGGCCTCACCAAGGCCGAAAGAGATCGAAACCTGGTAACGCCAAGCGAAGCCCTGCGCGAGCGCCAGGAGCTGGCGGGCCTCAAGCACACTCGGGGGCCCGACCGTCCTCGGCCAGCGTCGGTGCCAAGATCCTGAGCTCGGCGAGGTTGAGGCCCTCACGGGCCCCCAGCGATACATCGCGCAGGGTCTTCTAACAAGACGGGAACTTACCAAGCCGAATTCGATGCAGCTGATCACTTATCCCGCATGTGGCGGGTTTCGGCCGGCACTGGCCTTTGGCCCCCGCGTTGGGGGGCCCGAAAAGAACGTGCCGCACCGACCGCAAAATTGAATCCTGCTCTCGGGGGGACCCGGGCGGCCGATCGCGGGGCAAACCAGCAACGCGCGGCCGCTGCGCCTCGAAGAACAAAAAACAGAAACGCCCGAGGGAATATATATACATACATACATACATACATACATACATACATACATACATACATACATACATACATACATACATACATACATACATACATACATACATACATACATACATCTATAAGTGTTGAACTACAAATGAGAGCTTCATCCACTCCGAGCCCAAGCCCCACCCAACCCCCACACACAAGACCCCCTTTGATATTTGGCCAGCGCCTGGCCCCCAGCTTCAAACGCCGCCACGGCCGCGCTGCCGAGGGGAGCCCTGGCTGCCCGCCGCGGGCGCCCATGCCCGAAGGCCCGCGGCAACGCGGGGCCCACCTGCCATCGAAACTGCACGCCTCCTCCTCCTCCTCCTCCTCCTCCTCCTCCTCCTCCTCCTCCTCCTCCTCCTCCTCCTCCTCCTCCTCCCCCTCCTCCTCCCCCTCCGCCCGCTGCACGGTCAGCTAGCCACTCACAAGCCTCTTACACCAGACTCTTGGGCCCCCTGCACAAGCGAGCATCGGCGACACAAATCCAGCGGCCTTCTGCACCGCATTCGGCACATGTCTCGGCGAACCCGTTGGCCCACTTCTCGCAAAACACAGTGCGCCACGCCCGCGCGTGGGCCGCGGCGGCATGGCCCAAGGTCGCGAAACACTCGGGATCGCCAGGTGCAAACCAGCTCCACGCAGGACCCCACCAGCGCCCCCTGGGAGCCCCAGGGCCCTCGGAGAAGCAACGCCCTCGGGCAAACAAGCCCCGAATACTCCGACAGTCAATGCGCACTTGAAACGGGGAAGACCTACCTGCGAAATCATATATACAACATAGTATTCCCCGCCCTTGCTGGTCAGCTGCGGGGCTACACGCACTGGGGCCGGGCCATGCGCAGCCGAGAGGATGGCCCAAAAACTGACAACTGAAACGATGGCACACCCAGCACTTGCAAGCCCATCGAGGCGCACACACTTAGCCGACCCGTCCAGGAATAGCAAGCCAGAGAGGACCCCAGAACCAGGGCGCTGAAACCAATGGGAGGTCTGGGAGGGCTTCCCCGTGGGAAAACAGGCCCCGAGGACCGGGGGGGGATACGGCGAGCAAACCTAACAGCAACCAAGGGGCAGCGCATCTTCTCTTGCCCGGTACATTCACGTCGCACTCATTGGTTTGAACATCCGCCCCATCCTATCCCAGAAGATCGGGCACTGGAAAGTCCTGATCCGCATGGGGAACGCAGCAGCAAGTTACACCTCGAAGGACGGGGCGTGCAACGTCCAATGGGAAGGACGTCGACCTTCATGGACGCAACGCATTCTGAAACTTGTGCGAATGCGCGGTGCCTGCCTGCCGAAATCTGAACGTTGGAGCCCCCCCACAGATCGCCGCGGCCCACATGAACAGCACGCGGCCAGCAAAGACCACGAGGGGGGCGACCCTGAACCCGGGCCCGCAGGTGAACACGCGAGGCCCACTGAAGCACCTTTGGGCAGCCTGCCATGGAAGCTCGCCGTCGCAACACGCAGGCCCGCAACCTTGGAAGAGGCCACCCCCAGAACATTCGAGCCCCGGGGGGCCGCCGCAGTCGCGCCCATCCCGTGGGCCGTCGACGCATCAGCCCCAGCACCATGCCAAAATCTCGAGCCTGCGGGCCGCGGCCGTAGACGAGACCAGACCAGCGCTCCGGGCCCCAACCCGACGAAGCCTCCCAAGAGATACGGTAATCCCAAGATTGCGGGGCGCCTCTGTTCTACAGCAAGAGTGGAGGCTGCACGACTGGCCGAGGGCCCCTCGGCCTCCTCGGCGCAGAGGCAGGCGCGCTTCTTGAACTCAACAGGCAACTACGGCAGCTCAAACAACTTCGCCTAAGACCCGACACCGCCTGCCAGCTGAGAAGCAAATGGGACCCGTGGACCACACCTTGTAAGAATACATCCCTGAGGCACCGAAGGCCCCATAGCTCACGCGATTCCAACAGGGGTCCTGAGAGCAGCATATCGGCGAATGCAGTCGCCCCTGAGCACCCTGCAACCAT